GCTTGTACTGCTGACCTAGACTGTCAGCAAAACAGCAATAATGTTTGAGCTTTATCCCCTTCTCAGCTTCAGCATAGGCTGATCAATGTTTCTGCTTTGAGAAGTTGCACACAGGTAACACTTAAAGACCAAACCAAGTCCTGCCTGAAATAGCAGTGAAACATTCTGGTGTAGGAGTGTTTTGTCACTGGCAAATTTTGTCAGCTCACAGTCACCTGACCCTCCTGTCCCTGCTGGACACTCGTGAGCTCACTTTGCCTTTCTCCTGCTCCTTGTTTCAGCCAGTTCATGAGCAATATCCTCTTGATAGTGTTGCTGATGTAGGCCAAGCAAGTGGGTGAATGCAATGGGATTGTGATTTTTCTTCCCATGATGCTGAACAAGGTGGTGTGAGCCTGCTCTGTGTGGTGTTCGAAGCAGTTTGTAGTTGGGATATTCAGAATATTAATAGCTTTGAGAGTGGGGATGGGTAGAAAATGAAAATGGCTCAATCCCAGCTGAGAAGATGGTCCACAGTCAACATGAATTTTTATTTTCATTTCAGAGCAGAAGGATGATAAGGAAGTGATGGGCTGGAATTTGTCTTTATAGCAGAGAGGACATGGTGAATTCCTAAGAGAATAAATGTGCTTGCTTAAGAGATCGCAGCTTTATTAGCTCTGTGGTCTAAATGTAGGGATGAGTACAAACTCTTCTGCTTTCTCCTAATGCATGCATAGATTCAGGCTTATTAATTCGGGTGTGTATAATTCATACAAAGTAATAACTTGAAATTCAGACCTTTTTTTTAACGAATTACATCTTGCTTTGCAACCAGATGGTGACCACAGCTGCCCAGGGAATTCTGCAATCCTTCTCCTTTACAGTTTCTTTTATTGTTTTGAGAGGTCAGGTGGGAATTGCTGATACCTTGTGAAGATGCAGGATGACCTGGAGGGAGTTGATCTGGGAGGAAGGAACCAACACTCAATCCATGGCTTTAGGGAACCCATTAATTGACTGTTTCAGAGTTTTTTTATAACTTTTTTTCCAAAAAAATGTATGTGTTCACTGGAAACCCCTCAGCTCAGAGCAGAGTTGGCACCTTCCTGTGTGCACGATGGGTCATGAGCCTCTCTGACACGGGATCCCTGCCTGTCAGTCCGTCCTGTGCTTTGTGGCCATGTCCTCTCTGGCTCCTGTGCATGAAGACAAACAGCTTTGCAGCAGCTGCTGGGCAGCACTGAGTGTGCCAGGGGAGCTTCTTCCTCCTTGCTGTCGCTGTCCCTGCGCCACTGGCTGCGGCACTGGCTGCCACTTGTCCTCAGCGCGGCGGCTGGGACATGGCGGGTGACATCAGGTCGCCCATGTGCCACTGCTCTGGGCCACTGCGTGCTGACATTAAATATTGAAGTGTCTGAGGAGCTGCAGTCACGTAGCATTGGGTGGAGAGTGTGTGGTGGCTCTGCCACCGTGCCTGAGCTGGGAATGCCAGGCTGAGTGGTGCCACAGTGACATGAGGCTGAGGGAGTAGTGGGAACATCCTTGGTGGCAGTTGTCTGGAGATGGTGGAGCTGCTTGTGTCCTGTCTCATGCAGCTTGCTGGGATTCCCAGCTGGTGGCTCCCTGGTGCAGTCACACTAATAATCTAAACAAACTGGGAAGTGCAAAATAAAACTAAATGTACACTTAAATAAAATGCTTTCAGCCCAGGCAGCCAAGTCTAAACTAAACCAGAGAATTATCTGACCAAGTTTAGGATAAAACATAACTCAAGTGATTTGAATGTTAAATAATCTCATTGCTTTATGGGCTGATTCCCTGAGATGGTCAATCAAGCCTGTTGTCACCAGTGTGAGTGATGGGCTCAGTCCTGCAGGCACTCAGGAAGGGAAGGCCATGTGCTGAGCATTGCTGGATCCACACAACTTTCAGTGGTTCACCCTTTCCCAGCAATGCTCACTCAGTTCATGCTGACAGTAATTGCAAAGCTGGGATAGAGGAGATGTGGGTCTGGATGGGACATCCTGGCACAGGGGCTGCTGCCCATGGTGTGTGGCCCTTACCCATAGAGATAAACTTGGGTGGCTTTGGGGTCCACCTAATGGCACCTGGCTTGGCTGGTGCTTCGGGGGGACTCGCTGGTGACAAGACTGAGTGTTTGTGTCGTGTGCACACTCTGCTTGCTCTGCAGTCACACAGGAGCCAGGACCAGCCGGGTTTTCAGAGCCAGCTCTGTCTCGTCTGACCTTGCTGGTGCCATGCTGCCTTTTGTTTGTAGTCTTGGGCAAGAAGCAATGGGAAAAAGGTTTGATAGGAGACAAAAGCAAACAATAGCCTTGCTCCAAAGATACGATGAATGGGATATAATTGGATTTTTTTGTGAGGACATTGATTTGACCCTGTGAGACACAGAAAGAATCATTAGGGGAATTAACACGCATTAAAATGCAGGGTTTTATCAGAGGGCTTTTATTGTGCCCATAGTTTTGTTTTTAATTATTTAATGACTTTGTGTCTTCTGGTGATAAATCTATTTCTCCCCTCTTTTTTCAAAGGGAAAAAGGGTGTTAGTGTGACAGCAGAGTACTCAGCTCACACAGCTGCTGAACCCACAGCCCTGCCTGTGCCCCACCATGTAGACAGGGAGCCACTGGGCAGAGCTTCTCGTGCAAACCTCTGATCAACCACCAATGCTGGGCTGAGCACTTTCCTCTGCAGAGCTGACACAAACTTGCAGTTGCAGAAAGCAGAACATGTAAGGAATGGGTTTTAAGGGGGTTTTGCAGCAGAGAAGTGCATCCTCCTTCCTCAGTGTATATCTGTGGCACTGACTGGCAGCTTGGCCTTTCCTCTGCCCAAACATGAGTGAGCCAGGCCAACAGAGTGAAAACCCATGCTCTGCCTCGAATGAGAGCCTCTCAATGCTGCAGCTCCTCCGGTTGGTGACAATTTGGGGTTAGGTTTTCACATGTGCCTGACATGGGCTGGCAGAAAGGAGCAGAGTGAATGAGCTGTGGGTAAGGCTGAACTTCCTGAAATACTTTGGGTTTCTATGCCATAGCAATATATTTGTTCAGCCACAAAAGTTAAAAATGGTTTGATTCTCCTTAAAGCAGTTGAATTTTAGTAGGAATAGGCAAAATCACAGACTAATCTGGACCCCTAAACTGTCTTGGCATTGAAGGGGTTTGTTTCTGTAAATGCTTGCTTGCCTGGTGCTGGAGAGGATGTGCAGGGAGCTCCCAAGTGTTCCTCAGTCTCTCCAGAGCTCATCTCACTGTACAGCATGAGGTTTGTAGCATAGTGAGCTGAGGACACATAACGTGGGATGGGTTGGGAATAGAGCTCTGCTGAATGCAGCAGTTTTGGTGGAATTACTGCACTGGCTTTAAAAAACTCCAAAGATCTTTTTTTCATATTTTCTGAAGAATTTTAATTATGGAGTTCTTTGGTGGTTTTAGCCAGTTGGAAATCTCAGGTCAGACCTTTTTGGCCATGTAGCATTCAGATTTTAGTACTTGCATCTGATTCAGGTGGAGCTGCTGTGAAACTGTGAGGATTGGGAAGGTCATCAGTGTCAGTGGTGGAGGTCTGCACTGGCCTTCTTTGATGCTGAATTTTATTCAGCCATGAGCCAGAAATTAAAAAGAGGAGTTTTAGGAGCTTTGTGCCGCTGCTCTGTCATCTGCGTGTACGGGGATCCCTTAAACCTGCAGAGACTGCCTTGGAAAACAAGGGGTGCATCGATGGATTCCAGGAGAATTTATTTGCAGTGTAAACATGTTGGTCAGGAGTCATTAATATGACATTCACACAGCTCTAATAAAGTACATAACACGGAGATCTGGCACCGCTGCAATGCCCAGAGGACATTAAGTATGAGTCTTAAAACCAAGAGTATTGGAAACAAGATATTTTTACGTCTCGTTTGGGAGTAATATAATTGCATTTTGTGGCTCTAGCAGATGCTTGGGCCAGCTGGTTGGAGAGCATTGTGGGGATTTTTAGCTTTGGTACTGTAAGCGACAGCCCTTATATAGAGCTAGCTAAAAAAAAAAATAATAAAAACCCCTCTCTTGGTGGAAAGCCCTGTTGGAAGCTGGCATGTGCTGTTGGGAGGTACAGCACGGGGACACTTCTGCTGCAGTGGCTCTAGAGATTATACTGCATGTGGTTTGGGGGTTGGATTTGAGGCATTTGTACATTGAAGGCAATTTCACTGGCCTCACTTGTTCAGCTTTTGCTATGCAGGCCCCTCTGAGAGGGCTGGGAGGTGATTTTTGGAAGATAACCATCAAAACCCTACATTTTTCTGAGTATATCACAGGGGGCTTATTTTCAGCACAGTCCCAGGAGTCTGTGGCCATCTCTAGATACTGGGACACTGCTGGTGTGGTGACAGTTGCCACCTTGCGACCACCCCGGGTTTGTATCCAGGAAATGGATGAACGTCTGTCCCGTGTTCCTCAGGCCTGTTTGCAGGCACTGTCGTGAATTATCTCGCTGGCGCCGATAATTTCCTGCAAACAAATCAGTTCTGATCTGGAAGTAATCGCCCGTATCATTCCTGCAAGTGGGAGCAATGACTTACGTTGATGTCACCCGCTGGCTTTTTATGGCAACGATTAATAATTCAGTAATTCTCTCTGCAGTGATGCTGTTCTATTTATAAATATTTTATTTAGCTCCCCGTGTCCGTATTGTCGCTACCCTCCCCTTTGCTTCCTGACGTCACACCGGGCTCGCGGCGATGCCGTGGTCACCACAGTTACCAGCAAATTCTCTGTGCTGGAAAATGTTAATGCCTTTCCTCATTTGCATCTCTTCATTGTCCTGTTTAAGCCTGGCCTTGGTGGCGTGGATGCGAGCGTTTACTGAGCGCACTCTGTCAGTCAAAAACCGGTTTCAGCTGCAGCCTGGCCCCGGGGTAGGCGGCTCCGTGTCTCTGTTATAAAACTTTCCAGTTGCCAGCACAGCCATGCAAGTAACTTTGTTTTCTTTCTGCGTTTCTCTTTCAGGAAATTGCAGCTTATTTAATAACGTTTGAAAAGCATGAGGAGTGGCTAACAACCTCCCCCAAAACCAGGTAATGTTCTCCTGCTCAGCACATTGACTCTCTCGCGCTGATGACTTGACTCACTGATCAATGGCTTGACCACCAAGTGGAAACTCCCAGTCATGCCTGATGGCTTGTGACACCAAACTCTCATTAATTGCCTTAATGAGCATTTTATTGAATGAAATCAGATTGATTAAAAATGGAACAGCTAAAATGGAACAGTCTTGTCAGCTTAAAGTTTTAACCCGATTGCTCAGGATTTAATTGTATCCCTTCAGATGAGCAGATCTGAAGCCTCTGAGCAAGGTCGCAGGCTGTTTATCTTGACAGAGCTCCCTTGCCTCTAACTTTAAATAAATAAAAAAGCACCAGCCCCACCATGTGCTGCCTGTTCACAGGCAGGCATGGGGATTGTTTGCGTTCTGGTGTTTCCCTTGCTGGGGTTAAGTGTTTGATGGTGAGGAGGTCCCAAGAAGCTGCATTAACAGACATGTTTGCAGTTTATTATTCAGTAAATGTCATGTCTTCTTCGTGCTGCCATAAATGTTTAACTTCTCCCTCCCCTGGGAACCCAGACATGGAATTTTGGCTGTGGATGTTTTCCTGCTGTTTCAGCTATGTTCTGGCTCCATACGTCTCACTAACGCAGAGAACGACTCTTGCTTTCTGGTCTTGCTGGGCTTTTGCTGTTTTTCTTTCTCCCAATCCACCCCTTTCCTATTGCAGAGGGCTGGGCCATTGGAAGGAGCCTGCTGGGACCCAGGTGAGACAAAAGCCCATTCTAGCATCCTGCATCCCAGCATCATCCATTGCAGGGGCCGGTGCCGCAGGCGCCCGGAGCAGCGTGCTCCAGGTTTGGCATCACCTCCTGCTGCCATGAGCAGGGACAGAGGTCACAGTGGGACCCAGGGAGCAGTGCCACCCTAACGAATAGCACAGATTGATTCCAGGTGTTCCACAGCAACCAGCTGAGGAGAGGATGGACGTGGAGGCCTTCTCTGCACCTCTGCAGTGCAGCTGCTGGTGGGGCACACAGAGGACCTGCTTTCCGTGAAATATAGGAACAAAAGAGCTGTGTTGTTTTACTTTTTGTGGGCTTTTTCCCCCCCCCAGACTATATTTTTGTGACATTGGTAAGTAATGCATTTGCTTGTCATATTAAAACATATAGCACCTGGGAAGGAGATGTGGGAAACTCAATTGCTTTCTCAGTGGTTCTCCAAGATCTGGAACTGCCAGGGTGGTGGAAGGGCCCTGAATGGATCTTTCCTGCTGGTGGCAGCTGTGAGGCTCTCCTTGGCTGCAGAACAGCAGGTAATTCAGTTAATATTAGCAATGTTTCTTTCTGGGTTGGTAATCCCAGTTACAGAATTAATTCAAAACAATTTCTGACTGAGCCTTTGCCAAATAAACATTTTTAGGGGTCAGAAAACACATTAACTAGTCTGGCTCTACATGGCATCATTAAAGATACGAGATTATAGATGTTTTTGTAGCATCTTCTAATCTTAAGAGCTTGGTTTGCTAAAGGCAATACATGAAAATAATATTCTGATGAACATTTCCTTACCTTCTTTTGTGTTTGCACTCGGAAGAAAGAATGTCCCAGGAGAAGGAAAGTTGTGACATGAGTTCAAGGTCCTTCTGAAATTGTTGAGTTAGTTTTCTTTTTTTTTTATTATAAAAATTAATTGGAAGAGTTAAATGCTGAGTTGCTACAATCAGGGCTCCCGATATTACAGAATTAATGACATCGATTTGGCACTGAACTGGAACACTCCCCGTTCTTTGTTTGCTGCTGTGGGTGCTACTAATTTCATCTCACAAAATTAATAAAAATTAATTGCACCACTGACACACACAGAGTTTCCTAATCCGATGATGTATAGTGTGCTGTGAGGAGTCACTGCTGGATGGGGGCTGTGGGAGCTGGTGCTGCTGCAGCTCTTGGCAGAGGGTTGGTGTTGGTGACGGGGTTTTGGTGCTGTCCAGCTCAGCCACCAGTGAAGGAACTGCTGCAGAGGGTCAGGCCAGGCTGGGCTGTGATGCCTCACAGGTTGCTGAGCTAAGGCAGAGGGTGGCAATGAGGAACGAGCTGGTTTGGAGCCAAGCTTGCAGTTCTGAATGTTTTCCTGAACAGAGGTTCCCATGTTTACAACACGGTTGGGCATTGCTTTAGTCATGGATATGAAGGGGGGGCCTTCTTGCCGTTGTGGTGTCATTGAAGGAGCTATGACAAACCTTTAGAAAAGATCCCTAAAATTACTTTTTAATGAAACTTCTTGTTGAACAACTCCAATTGATTGAATACACTGATATAAATGTACTGGAGCATTATTACAATAGTCTTTTGAGCACTCCAGTTGATCAACATAAATTAGCGAGCACACCTCGCGAGCATCGACCTTGAGGCTCCCTTGGAGTGGTGTTTGGTTACTTGATGATGTGCCGGGTAATCCGCAGCGGGTGTTCCGTCAGCGGGGCGGGGGAAGCGTTCTGCTAATGCAGCAGGGCCAAGTGGCTGACATTTCCAAGTTTAAATGCAAATCACGATGACAAAAAAAAAATTACTTGACATTTATATATCAAGTAGAACTTAATTGTTATTTACTTTGGAATTTCAATGACAAAGTCAATTTTCTGAGTCCAGAAGCATTCTGCCAGATACAGATACAGAAGAAGATACTTTGCTTCTCTGTTTCCAGGTGCCTTCTGCCGTTAGCATTTGTACAGTATTTTAGAAATATTCTTGAGCAATCCGAAGTGACTTTACTATTTCACAAGTGGGCCCCGGGCACTTCTGGCTGTGCCCAGAAGCTGCAAGGTCAGTTTTCCATCTGGGAATGCAGTTCAGATGTGTTTATGCCCCTTCCTGCTTCATGTCTTGGAAGGGACACAGGGGGATTGCTGGGGGGACCAGCCCTACTCCACGGTGAGAGCAGGATGGGTGCAGAGCCTGGAGTCTTCCCCACCTCTTGTTCAGGTGCCCATCTCCCAGGAAGCACACCCTGTGCCTTACCTGTCCATCAGTCCAGCATAAAGAACATCCCCTATCTGGGATATCTTTATCAGTGCCATCGTAAAGAAAAGTTAGGATCTTGCAATATATTAATTCTGTATTAAATAATTAATAGTAAAATTAATTGAATTACTTAATTTTCAGGTAAAAAATAGGGTAATAAATATTCATAACTTATATTATTAAGGGAATTTTCCATTTCCTATGTCGTTAAAGTGAGATTAGGTATGGTTGGGTTTAAATGAAGATTGAAAACAATTGTGCTTTGGAATTAATTCACTGTGCTAGGCCATTACCTTGCGAGCCTTCTTTCCAGTGTGCTGTGTGAGAGCTGTCCCACTGCATGGGGTAGATGCCACTGCCAGGACGTGCTGGCTGCTGGGAAATGAAACAGAGGCTTCCCGTGGAGGAGGAGCTCATGGCAGCTGGAAGCTGTGGGAAAGCAACTGCTCAGAGCTGTGATTGGTGGCAAAAGTTCTGCCCATCTCCCCTTGTGCTTGTTGCAAATGAAAGTCCTCTTGAGAGCTTGTTTAGACTTCCAAGGCACGTTTTAAAGGTCCTGCTCTCCCTTGTGGCTCGTACTTTCCATAGGATCCAGGGCCATTAACCTTGCCCGTGGGCAGTGCTGAAATTTGGGTTTTCTGCTCATGCTGTTGGAAGCTCTGCCAGCAGTTTGGGGTCGTGTACGACCTATTTTCCTTTGTTGAAGGCAGTGTGTGTGTGCTGTCAGCACTCCTGGCTTGGGATGCTGCTTGACATAATCCCTGCTAAATGTGGCACATCTCTCTTAACACTTTATAGATTTCATGACTCTCAACACTTTCTTCTCGCTGCTTTCAGTATTTCCTTCCCTTTATTTTCCCTGCAGAGAATAAACAGTGCACAGATGGTTTTAAGAGCCCTTAGTTCATATAGATTTTTAGCTGCTGTGGTCCAGGGGTGTTGAGACACCAATAATGAATTCTTTTAACAGCTCACTGTGTTGATTGTAAAGTGACCTAAGGGCAGAATTGTTGGGAGCCATCCAGATGCCTGGCAATTGTCTTCAAGTATTCCTTCCAAATTCTTCCCATGGCAAATCCAGAGTGGTGTGTGCTGGTCTTCTGGGAGAGCTGGTTTCCCTCTGTATTTAGCTGGCAGCTCAGAAGAACTGTGTCCAACAGAGGATGTCACTGGCCAGCTTGGACAGCCAAGGCAAGAGGTCTGTGTTTCTGTTGTGGACTCACCTGGCACAGAGGCTGAAGGTTGGCTCTTCCAGGCCAGCAATGGCTCTGCAGCCCCTGTGTGTGGTCACCAGGCTTGGGCCTTCCCACATATCAGGGGGATGGGTGTCAGGGACAGTGGCTCCACTGGTGCTCCATGCACACCAACACTTGCCTCCCCACTGCCTGGCTTTGCAGGTATGTAGGGCTGGGGTGCAAAGGCTCCTTCTCCTCTTGATGTGGACTCATAAGAGTCCTGCAGCATTGCCCCTTGGAGGAGAAGAGAACTCTGGAAAACATGGAATTGTCAGAAAAAGTAATTATCTGATAACGAAGCAGTGAAATAATTCAGCAAACCCATCTGCCTGCAGCAAGGCTTGGTGGGATTTTCTGTCAATGGGTATGGCCAAGGAGCACAGTGTGGCTTTGGACAACACTGACATTGGCAGGCTCTGACTGTTCTTGATCCCACGTGGGAGGATGCTTAGGGTTGAGGAGGCTGCTCTGTGTGTGTGAGCCCCCGTGCTGGGCCTGTGATGGGGGTTCCCAGGCTGAGAGGCAGATCAGTGAGGAGCTGCCCTTGCCCTGGGTAGAACAGAGGAAAGGAAAGAGTGTGCTGGAAGAGGTGTTGGGCTGGGGCTTCTGATGCTCACACCCAGACCTGGCAGACAATTCCATATTGTCCAGCATTCTGTGCTTCCTATCGAAGTGGGCCTTGAAGGACAGGGTTTGATGGCTCTTGTGGAACCACCTTGGACCTGCCCTTTCCTGCATCATATATGCAGGCTTTAGAGTGGCAGACCTGC